CCAAATCCGAAATTAGCTTAATAGAATCTGCAAATTAGGTTTGTTAGTCGTGAAGGTGTTTAATGTATAAAAACGAGCTAAGTATAAAGAAAATTGCAAATACTTATTTGTCTATAACGTATACTTATTCTTTCAATCCTGCAAAGTTTTATTTTTGAATATGTCTACTGACCCGACCCCCCAAAATATTTCATGTCTCAAAACTCTCGCATTGAATATTCTTAAGAATAGCTCCCCGGATGTTATTGCAAAAGATGTTGAAATTCCAGAACTAGATCCATGCTCAAGGTGTAAAGAAGAGCTTTTTTTGTATGAATTTAAAAAACCATTTACGACACTTATCTGTGGCCACATATTTCACCGTCGTTGTCTTGAGGATTATGTAAAAGATCTTCCGCAATGCCCTAAATGTGCAATAGAAATTGAATCTATTGATTATACGCATTATTCTGGCACTTTTGAGCAAAGTACCTCGGACCCAATGCAAATTTCGCCACAAATGACATCCAGTCAAAGCCAGAATACAATAACCCCAGATACAACTCTTATTTTTAACCCTACCTTAGCATATGACCCAACAATATATCCAAATTATGTGGATCTTACCAAAAACAAAGATGCCTCTCAGATTGAATCCAGGAATTGTTCCAAGTGTTCTGAAGTAATCTCCCCGGAAATTTTGAAGCCAGTCATATTATTGCCATGTAACCACGTTGTGCATTTCGAATGTATTGACAATAAGCGTAAACTATGTCCTGAATGTCCATCTATTGATGATCTGGAAAAAGAAGGATATTATATCTCGCCTATTGTTTTAGCCAACGAAACACCCAAGAAAAAAAGGAAGATGCAAGAAAAAGATACTCATAAAAGTAAATCTAAAAGGGCCACAAAACCCAAAGCAATTATTCGAGAGTTATCTGTTGCTTCAACTAGCAGTGGACCATCAATCAGCGCTCCTTCTGAAACTACCAATATTGGTGAAATTTCTAATCAATTCCATAAACTATACTACGACGTTGATATTGCTGAAAAGAAGGGGGATCAAGAAAACCAGGAGGTAGTTCAATGCTACTTTCGGTTTGGGAGAGCTCTATCAGAACGACTTGCTGTATTGCTCAAGAACAACCCCCCACAGACAGCGCATACAAAGTTAAATAAAGAAGTTAAGGAAAAGCTTCCGGAAAAAACTAAAGATGCTATAGTGCGTAAAAGAACAGATATGGCTAGAAAAATTTATGATATATTTAGTAAAATCGGAGAAGATAAAATCAAGAATATTAGATCTTTTACTGCATCCAGTTTTTCTGATCTAACTAGAGATGAAGTTTCATATATCATAAAAAATTTTCCTGTGTAATTCTCCGATAATTTAACTAATAAACGTGCCTACTGCGCCACATCGCGTGATATATCATGTGATACTGTTCTGACTCGGAACACCCCCATATGATATAAATTTCAAGTGAATATACAGTATATGCGGTTATTATTCTTATTGCATTTCGAAATTCTCGAATAATTAACATTAAATATTCAGTAACCTGTTAGAATAAATTCCACGAAATTTATCCGTATCACCTTACAAGGCTTATGCATAATTTATTTGTGGGCACAAACAC